AGTTAAACGAATGTGATTTTTGTACCATCTCTCAATCTTAATGCGGACTGATTAAGATGGTCTATAGATGGTAATAAGTTATTTTGTTTAGCATACCGAGATGAGATAAATATTTCACTTGTGATCCCTTGCTCTGAGCGTCTTTGGCTAGGACTTGATGATTGATAAGAAGTTGGTAAAATCGTTTCTTGTCTAGTAGGTGAAATATAATCTGACTCGAAATTTGGAGCACTTGGCATAGTATCTTTTGCTTTAGATTGTGCATAATTTTCATAGCTAGACGTAAAATTTCCATCATGATCATATGATACTGATGCTAACTTATCCTTTTCTGAGTGTGAGGTAGATTGGGAGAAAAGTTCTAGACGAAGACGATTAATTTTAGCCTCTTCCTGTAATATATATTGCTTATATTGCCAGATCTGAAATTTCCTCCTATCAATAGATTTGAGAATTTCTTTTCTTCTTGCATGTTCATTCGAAATACTATTTTCAGAAATGCATCTCTTCAAGTGGTTATCTTGATAGATACGAGCACTAAAAGAAGTATAAGGTATGAAGACTAAGGAGTCACATACACTGCAATATATATAATTTGTTGGATAACGGTGGACTTTATCATTTTCATATAACTTTCCATACATTTCAATATATCCATTCTTAGAAAAGATTCTATTCCCCGAAGAATAGTTCTCTTCAAGTATTTTTCTAAATGGATCACGAATACGAGAACACCACATTTCTGGTGTTTCGTGATCATGTCTTTTTGCTAAAGGGTCTATTCTTTCAAGTATTCTTCTATAATCTTCAGAGCCTCCATGAGTATTCCATGCATCAATTAGCTTAGAATAGGCTCTACTATCAAGATCCATATTAGCGTTTTAGTAGATTATGATAAATTATAATGATTTATTATTTTATAGTGTTTTTAGCGATTTCAGCTATTTTAGCAATATTATACTCTAATAAATAACAGATTCAAATTTATTCGAATATTCGATTACAAGCATATTGGGATTTGTAGCCGATTTAGTGAGACTACACACTAGTAAATACAAATTCATTTCCCCCTTGCCTAAAGACTGCGGGGTGAAGTTAATATTTCAAAAATCTTGGCAAATTTCAGCAAGGCCCGTTGCCCAAAACATATTTTTTCGAATCTAGAGAGAAAAAAGGGCTAATATATTGTATCACATGAGATCTCCCCTAAATCCTTACCAGTTCCCTGCTAGTTCCTCGATAGTTCTGGGAGAGTTCCAGGAGCTGGCGAGTTTCCATAAATCACGAGATGATCGGCTAATTATATTCGGGGAAAATTAGATGAGAGTATGAGACAGCCTGGCGCAGTACAAAGGAATTTTGTCCACGTGTCAGTATCGATCAAAAAATTTGGACACTAATTATGCGGTGTTGGACATGTATGTCCTCCACTAATTATGTAATGTCAGTATCAATTAAAAAAATAAATGGCCGAACTGGCTAAACTTTATTAATATATGTTTTCAGAACACTATTTTTTACGCATAATACACTAAACTACCCCGAAACACTTTAGCAATTACGTATTTAATGTCATCCTTAGACAAAGCCGTTATAGTTGATAATGAAAGTTTTAACTCAAGCCATAGAAATAATTTTGCTAAGATTTTGATCGTTACCAATGGTAACGGTTTTCTGCCAAGAAAAAATTTTGATTTATTAGTACACATTGATCGTGCAATAAAGCAAACACTATAAACATTCTTTTGGTACACATTTTGCATACACACCACCCGCATGTAGCATATACAATACCTAAAGAAAAATCGGCATAAGTGCTCACAGGTGCAATAAGGTGATTCATTCCATTAATGGCTTTCCACAATCCGAACAAATTTTAGCAGTATCTTTATTTTTTCCCTCGCACTGAGGATCCGGGCAAGATACGATACTTGATAGCAGATTGAATGGTGGTGGAGGCCCAAGCAGATCTAATGCAAAATACAAAGATATAGAATTATCCCTTTTTATATGAAGTGGAATAATATATAATATAATAATAGACAATACCAAGCGGAATCGTTTTGACTCTCTTTGATGACTTTGATGGAGTATTCAAACATGTTGGCAAATTCACCCTTCGTTTTTGTGATGGTTGTGGTGACACATCGTAGATATCCTGTAAATGTTGTAGTTGACTTTCTTCATCACTTTCATCGGGTTGGCCAACCAAGCAAATCATATTATCAACGATTTTCTACAGAAATAGTTTTGTCAGATGTAGAGAACAGAAACCGAAAATCAATATACAAGTGCTTACCTTAGCCTTCCATGTCAAGGCAATTGCAGGGAGTGTTTTTTTTCCGAATTCTTTAATATGTGTAGCAATAAAGAAAGGCTTTGATCGTGACACGCGACATATATATCCAGCTGGTGAGTCTAGACGCAGAAGTGTCATCATAAGCCCTTGAAAAATACAATCTAAGTAAGCAACGGAAGCCAGATTAAGTATTAGGTAAAAAAAACATACCAGCATGAAGGAACCCAATTGTTTCCAGTTTACGGGTTTTCTTTTCATCTTGGTCAAAAGTCCTACAGAGTTGATCAAACATATCCTTCATCATTTTAGGCATTTTCAGGCCTTTTTCCTGTAACAATTTTGTACCATTCTGTCCTTCGAACTGTCGACCTGCTTCTGCGCACCCATACTCGTCTGTAATCTTACGAATAATCATATCGCCTCTCCTCCCAAGAATCTTTCTTTTCTTATCTACTGCAGGAACGGTTCTTTTATGATTTTTCCTTGTTGATGACGACAGGCTACACGATTCTCCTCTATTGTAAAAATTATTAAACCATGGGAAGAAGAGAACTAATCAGGTTTCACTTTCCTTACCTGACTACTTTCACTTCCTCGATATCATTGAAAACTTTATCAGTAAAGTTCCAAACGTGAACAAGTATCCACAACTCTAAATGGTCTGACATCAAAGCGTTCGATTCATATTCTAATAATCTTTAAAATGAGATTGCGAACTTAGAATCCAATCTTGAAATGTATATGAAATTAGTTACATACAAATTGTATACAGTATTACGTATCCAGTCTCGGTCAAAGTCTCTTGATCTATTGAAGTCTTGATCCATTTGTTCAGGCATAAAAATTTGCTTCCGAAGTTCCAAAGTATTTTTCTATTGGAACAACATACCGGTTGTCAGTAAAAAAAAACAAGTTATAAGATATAAAATATAAGTGAAACTTACAAGATTGAAGCTATTTAAATACTTCAGCAATTCCAGAGGCATCAACGGTGTTTCCTTGGTTTGATAATGTCGAATTTCGTGTAATTCACTTTCAGTAAAAACACTTTCTATCAGGTAATTATTGTCGTCAGGATCTAGTATAAACGAATGAGCAAGACTTTTTGACATAGGGATAAAGTATGAGCGAAACTTATACATTCTGTAAGCTTATTGTAAATATAAACTTACTGTTCATACTTGCAACGCAGGCCGAAATTGTAAAGAGCGTCCTCCACAACAGTTCCAGTTGTGAGTACCCACTTATTCGAATTATTCATTTCAGCGTAGGATTTTTTATATTTTTCGTAATCATATGCAGACATTATTCGAGAATTGTCATCATCATCACACTCCAATGTGCTTTCTGATCTTGTCTACGAGATGATATCAATTACCAGTTGTATTATTTCTAACGCCTCAAAGTGCCAAATACTTACTGAAAAATCCAAGTTTTTATTATCTCTACCATCCTTAGAACATCTTTCAGTTTGTTTTCCTTCCGAAGATATTTCCGCAACTGAGGAACCTTTTGTTTTATTAACAGTATTATGATCTAATGAATTAGATTTTTCTTGTGTTCGACCTGTTCCGTATGGTTTATTACTTGTTTTAGCCTGTTCATATAACAAGTAGAAGAAAATTTTTAGAAAAATTCACTCCAGAATCATAAGGTTGCATTCTATATACACCTTCTTAGAGTCAGCCGATTCTTTATTCTATAAATATCAAAGTAGTAATCAAAGAAAATACACGCATAAATTTCAAGGCAATATTTATATCAAAAAATTTTATTGTCATATTCTAACCTTTGATAATGATAAATTTTTCCGCTTTGGTTGACGGACAGGCATGAAGTCATCATCGGACTAAATACAAAAAGAAAGAGTTTGTTTCTATCAGACAATCATTTCCAGCTAAACAAAATACCTCTCTGCTGTTTCTCAATTTCTAGAGAAAATATGAGTATATACCTCTTTCTGATCTCTTTCCCGGTTTCTCTCCTTTGGAAATTTAACATTATTGATTACTCCCGAGTCGCCTCCCAGAGAATTTCCAGTAATTGTTGAGTTGTGAAAATGAAATGAAGATCCCGCTCTGACCGACGTACGCTTCTCCCAATTTCTTGCTTCTTTGTAATCAGGTCCAGGCCGATCATCCTTACATAAAAAATTTGAGAATTATATTAGTAATTATTTAAAGTGGCATGTTCCTGACTCCCACCCAATTTCCCATCCCATCTGGTCGGCGAAGAGCCTTGAACATCAGACAACCGAAGAGGTCAGCTGTGCCCAGTGGGACCAGTGCCAGGTCAGCGAAGAGCCTTGAACATCAGACAACCGAAGAGGTCATATGTGCCCTAACACTGGTTTTGTGGCTGAGCGAAGAGCCTTGAATGACAAGAACCGAAGAGGTCCCCTGTCACGCCACTATTTTTCACATATAAAAAAGAATTTTTACTTCTTACCTTATTATAACTATCAAGGAGATACCTTGCTTTGTCTTGATTGGCACCTCCCTCATAATCAACAATAGCTCTCAATGATTTGAGGTAATGATCGATCTTGCCTTCAAATGTTTCTATATCGCACTCGTTTAGAAAATCTATAATATTCCATTTCGTATACTTACGTTCAAAGTATTTGTCTATCACAGGCATGATTAATTGTGAAGGTAACGAAATAATAGATGAGTGGATCATGCGCAGTAGATTACGGACACGGTTTCCTACCAAAATATATGTTTGTGAATACACGTGAACGAAATTCTGAGCTGGCGAGTTTCTATAAATCACGAGATGATCGGCTAACTGATCAGATTCTGTGTAGCTAAGCCACCATTATTGTTCGTTATTAATAATGGATGTGCTAAAGGTCATTAGTAGAATAAAAAAGCAATATCACTTGCGCATGCTTAAAAAATTCGAAATAAAAGTGGTCGTTCACAAAGTGAACCCCAAATATTTATTATATTTTTGTAAAGCAATACATGAGAAAGGGGCGGTTGGCTAAGAAAAAATGAAAGTAAAAAATCATAATACTAGTGGTGAGGGTGTTCTGAGTCGGAACAGTATCACGTGACTGTGGCGCAGTAATAGGCATCTAATCCTTGAAGTTTTTTATGATATATGCAACCTCTGGTCTAGTTAGATCTGAAAAACTGGATGCAGTGAAGGATTTGATAAGACGAATCTTATCTTCACCAATCACGCTAAAGATGTCATAAATTTTTCTGGCTGTATCTACCCTCTTGCGTACCATAGACTTGTTCATATGATCTGGGAGTTTGTCCTGGACTTCACTATTCAGGTCTGTATGTGCCGTCTGTGGAGGCTTTTTCTGCAATAGTACGGCTAGACGCTCAGATAGAGCTTTTCCAAATCGAAAATAATTCAGAACTACATCTCTATTTGCTTGATCCCCTTTCTTTTCAGCAACGTCAATGTCGTAGTACATCTTGTGGAGCTGGTTGGATACATCTTGCATGTTCAGAGCTTCGGAAGGTGCATTAATTGATAGCTCATCAAGTGTAAAGACAGACAGCTCACGAAGGATAGTTTGCGCCTTTGAACCTCTGGCAGTTTTCTGTCCACCCTCTTGCCTCCTTCTTTTTCTAGGTATTTCAGGTGAAATGTAAAAACCTTCTTTTTCCAAATCATGGTTTGTCGGACACTTAGGACACAACTTGCGATTAATTTTAATACATTCGAAATGTACTATATGTTTACAGCATGGGAAAGTCACAAGTGGCTCTGAAGGTTCAGTAGAGATTTCTAGAGAGCACTTTGCACATTTGTTGGACTGTACCGGATCGCTATCACTAACGTGGCATGTACCACAACTTAATACTCCTCTTCTATCTGCACAAGTCCGATGATGAATATGCCCACATACATTAATTACAACAGATCTGGGAGGGTTGTCTGACAAAATTGGTTTTTTGCAATAGGTACATAGGCCATTGTCTGGGATGGAGACATCACCTGTCTTTACCGCTGAAAAATCAGGCTCCTCACGAAGTATGTCTTCAGGGAGATATTTGAGGATATTTAATGCAATAGTTTTGAGATATTTATTACGATTTGGGATATCTCGATTTTGTTGTCCCGCACTTTCGATAATGACTACGTCCTCCATACTGTTTAAGTCCACCTCCTCATCCGTAATAGATAGGTTTTCCACACTTGGCGGATTTTCCATGTCAGATGAACCCTCCTGGTTTTCCATATCTAACCTTCGATACCCTGACTTTGAATATATGTGAAGGTGAGATGAGACATTTGGGATCAAAGAAACCCGCCTTTTATATCACTTGTAAATTCAGCAGGAGAAAGCAATTCCCAGATCTTCACTAGCAATTACGTACTGCATTTCGTCATCCATTAGTCCCCTTGCAAATCAATAAAAGAATGACGATAAGGAACAGGATTAGCATACACATCCCCAAATCTCATATGCGAAATAAGGATTGCTGTCAAAATATCCATACCCGAATATTGTTTTGTAAGTATGATAATAGCGTGGCTGGAGACATGACATGCGAAAAATAAAGTCGAAAAAATAAGGTGAATATATATATACCAATCTTACCGTCGTACAGCCCCTATTCTTCGGCAAGAATTTCTCCGGTATCTTCTACGCATTTCAGGTGATCGGTCTAAGCCACCCACATGACAAGATTTCCGTCTATGCTTTTACCGATACTATTAGGATTCCAGGTTTAAAAGACTCCCTACACTTGAGACGATAAGTTTGTTCTCCGTAATACTCACCAGCATCCCATTCACCTTTTATTTCATCAAATATACTTCTATTCACTTTATGGTCTCCATTACACAAAGGACAGAATGCTGAATTATCAAGATTAAATGTGTCACGGCATTCATCACTATCGTCTAAAGATAGATAAGGAAACTTCTCTAACACCAACCCAATGATATGTTTTCGCTTCTCTTCGGGATTTTCAGGCAAGATAGAAATTGAGAGTCGAGATTTGGGCAAATCGCCTGGACCGATTCCTTTGGAATCACCTGAAGAGACATGGGTTGAAGGAATAGGTGCGGTTGAGATGCTTACCTCAGCTGGCATGGGTGTAGTTGATGCATTTACTTCAGGCAAGATTTTTTCAGAAATTTCGGTCACATTATTTTTCGGCAGGGGCGCCTCAGCTGAAATTTCAGAAATCGAAGACTCATCTTTTGGTGACGTGTGATGCAATTCCTTTGGATGTTCACAAAGTGAACAATTATCTATGATCTCTTGAAGCTTATCATTAGTCAACTCTGAAATAGCATTTGCAGTATATGTTGTAATATACTTAATTTTGTCCACGCCTACCTTTTCAAATAAATTATATATCTTTACAGCTTTCTGAGTTTTCCCTTGCAAGTATTTACGTGTGATTTCTGGGAGTTGTAAACCCGTTTCCTCAGATCTCTTTTTACGGAGAATGGAAAGATCCTCTAACATTTTATCATAAATAATTCCTTTCGCTTTTTTCTCACCAATTTTGTTACCTTTGGTAACTTCGTTAACTTGAGTTATAAATTTCTTTCCATAGTAGTACCAGCACAAAATTTCTTCCTGATTCGCATGAATTGCACCATATTCAGCATCAGTCGCTTTATCGAATAATTGAGCTAAGGTAAGCAGTGGTACTGTAGAAGAAATTTGGCTTTGTTGTAATAATATATCATTAGAAGAACCAAGAATACATTTTTGACCATCAGATATCATTTGAGAAATATTTTCCACACCATTTTTCCTATGACTATTTTTCGGCAGGGGCGCCCCGGTTGAAATTTTAGTCACGGGATTTGATGCCTCCGGTATCTTTTCAGACTGATCTTGGTTAAGAGACACTTGCTCTGCTTTGCTAAGTTTCTTCTCCCTATTACGTTGCCTAATCTCATCGCTAACTTTTTTCTTATCAGCCTCAACCAAGAAATCCATATCTTTCTCTTCTAATGGCTTGCCATTAGTCATTAAGGTGCTTTGCAGGCACTTCGCAGAGTTGGTAGGTACTGTTATTGCCTCTGGTACTGCAACTGAATTGAAGCTAGGTGAACTGTTGTTAGAGGAATTATCATTTGCCGTTAAGGCGCTTTGCAGAGTCTGATTCTGTTTCACTTTCGTGAGTCTATCTCTAAACTCAACATTTTCGGCCCTGAGTTTGGCATTTTCAGTATCACGCCTCTCATTATGTTCCTTATTCGCTCTTAGAAACTCGATATTACTGCGCTTAAGTTCAGCTATTATACTGAGAGCTTGTTTCTAAGATAGGATATTTCAGTATTCTCCTTCCTAAGCTCTATATTCTCAGCCTCAAGCTTGGCATTCTTAGCTTCAAGTTCAGTGATACGCTGTTTCAATACTTCAAGCTCGGATGACATGATCTTTATATTATAACTAATACACTGTATATAAGCATTCAAAATAAAAAAAATGTGTTTTTGACCGGGACGCCCCGGCTGAAAAATGCCAAGATAATTTTTTATTAATACATGCGAAAAATAAATACATAGATCGGGACTGTGCCTGTGATACATGACTTCTATGCTAGTGTCTAATCCTACAGTCTAACTAACCACCTTACATTTACGTGACTTGGTAATTCGCCTCTCCTTTACAAAATGTCTGTAAAATACATGATTATTAATTATAAGAAACTAGGATTACAGAAAACCACGATACAGGAATTTGTGAAATAGTTAGATCCTTACACAATATATCCATCTAGCAATTGAGATAATTTGAGCTGTTCCTCCTCGAAAAGCTTTCTCTTCTTTTTTGTGTCCTCCCGGCTTGCCATCCCGAAGTCGATCAAGTAGATGTCATCATTATCATTAATTAGGATGTTTTCCTCCCGAATATCATTATGGAGGATGCCATGTTTGTGGATTGCTTCCAATCCCTTAATAGCCCTTGACTTTTGCTGTTCCGTTATTTTTTGGTCGCTCAACGTAGTGCCAACGATGGTTAAGCCGATAACGAAGCTCATGCCTCCTCCATAATATCCATAACAGATTAGCTTTGGGATATACTTGCCTTGAATATCAGCTAGATCTTTATACATCTCTACTTCTTTCTGCATTTCTTCCAGAACATACGATGGGGCCTTAGATAAGTCTGCACTCTTCAAAGCAATCATATCTCCACGAAATTCGCATAGGAGAGTCTTTCCACTTCGTCCTTCACCTAGTATGCCCTTGAACTTGAAGTCTGAGAAGCTATAATTGTTCTGTTTAACAGAAGTGTTTGAAGGCAGTTGTTGATTTGCAGAGGTGTCGGAAGTCTGATTATTTAATGAGGAATTGGAAGATGATTTTGAATGAGACCGATGAGTACGTGAATTATTGTTCCCTTGAGCCGGCACAAGTATTTGGGGTTTAGGAGAGTTGGGATTCTCTTTCGCCTGTCGAGTTAGATAAGCATATGCCTTGAGTACAGGTGGTGATTCAGATTGTAGTGAGAGGGTTTCTGAAATCCAGAGATCTGTATGCTCTCGACGTAGGAACCAGTGATTATCATAGGTGGTAAGAATGCCATATCTAAGTTCGTTTTCTCCCATATAATTATAGATTTGTTGAACTACATCCTTGCCTTTGCTCGTCTGATAAAATTCGGGAAATGTCTCTTCGCCCATATCTTCTAAAACATGTTTTCTTTTTGCCTCAATCACCAAGATCAATAATTTCGCGAGATGACATTTAAAATCTGGTATGCCAGTGACATCAGTAGGTCGCCTTGAATATACGCAGTCTGGCCACATAAGTTTATTCAGTATCTGACAAATATTGACTTTTATAGCATTACGAACATCCTCTTCATCAACCACATCATTAAATTCATCATTAAATATCAGCCTCTCGAATCTTGGCTGTTGGTCGAAATGAAAGCTGTTCACTTGCTCGAAAAAGTCTCCCCAAAGTTGCACACTTGCCGGTGGGTCACCTACAGCCTTAGTAGTGGTCTTCGAGGTGACACAGTCCGAAGAATATGTTATGTGTGGCGGAATACACGACAACGCCTCTTCTAAGCTAAGAACTGGAAACGAGGACGAGTTAGTATTACGAAGGCAAATGACGGAAAATTAGAGACTGTACCAGAACTCCAGACACTTACGGGGCAACTTTACGATAACATGGATATGTTCTTCGGGAGGTGAGTCTGGAAAGTATTTCGAAATCTTTTTCGTTGCAAGGAGTTCATCCCCGTCATTGAGTGTGAGATTGCTTAAGAGATCGTCCTGATCATCAGGGATCGTCACCTTCCATAACTTAATGTCTTTGGCTGGAATACTGTCGAAAAACGGCTTTTGGCTCTCTTTAATAACCCCCTTGAGGTCACCAACAAGACTATTTCCATCTATATGGATAGGGAAGGCACTAGCAGTTTTATTTCCTTTGACGAGACATAGTAAAGTGATAGACATGTTTTCGGCTTATATAGTATTTTTTGCGAAATGTTATTGGCTCAAAGTGCGGTATGTGAGGACAAGAGTAAAAAGAATTTTATTTGCGAAAAAAATACTGAGGCAGACTATATGTGAGAAATTATTCTGTTTCACAAGTGAGACCTGCTGTGCGATCAGCCACATTGCATCATAGGTGCAACGATCGCCTAATCACTGCGCCTCCCTAACTGTGAAGACTCTTCTCACTTATCACCTGACGTTTTTTATATAGTTTATAGTCTCATTTCACGTGATCCGTTTCTCATACGTTCGATAAAATAATACTTTATTTATGAAATAAAAAACGTTGCCGGAAGTCGGCCTACAATACATAAAAACTATTACATATCATTATATATAAGATTATTCTGAGCCTGAGAGGGGTTGAGCGACGATATGGAAATAGTCTGTTCGTGGCTGTTCATTAAAAAAAGTGGAAATCGGATCCTGCGGTTGCATAGTCACCTTATCGGGGTAAACTTGACGAATTTTTAGGCGAATATTATTGAAGGGTGCTCCTAATCTGCTTTGAATTGTAGCTACAAGCAGTGATGTCCATTTCCTATATCCCAAGCATTTGCTGTCCCAGCTATATGTCCCAACTATATGTCCCAACTATGTCCCATATAAGTCCCAAATGTCCCATCTGTCCCATCAATGTCCCATCAATGTCCCATCAGTGTCCTAACTATGTCCCATGACAACACTGGCTACAAGTATACTAACTGCTTGGTTCCTGCCAACTGTAACTATTTGCATAACTTGATCGTGTGGAAGACCTTGTAGTTCTCCGCAAGGAACAATAAGACAACGAAGATTGATATTGACGTTATCTGCGCCAGAAGACATCTTGCTTTCCTAAATACAAGAGCCCATAGTGAGAAAACTCGTCCCCATACATACATAATTTAGGGCATATACATACCTTATTTTGCGTTAGCTATGCTAGTGAAACTATTTTCTCTGGGAAAGTTTTTTGCGGAAAGTTGGCTGAACTTCCACATACCCCTACATGCTTTATATCTGGCTGGGAAAAAGAGCGCCAAGCTGAAGTTAAGGAGGCATGAGGCGTAATTAGTATTGTCGTATGATGCCAAGAGTTCTATGAAAGCACATGCAAACGGAATCCTCATACCTTTTCATATGTAGATCTACCGGAAAGAAATATAGTTAGTTTTACGCCTGGCGATCTCGAAATTGTGACTCCGTCAGCCTTTCATAACATATGCTTTTGTTGGTATTATTTACTTTTAGAGCTGGTCCTGTGTTGCGACTAGACCTCCTTTCACATTTTCTCACATTTGTTTGGGAAAAAATAGAGGTACTGGTTAGCGAGTATATATGCGAAATTAATATGTCGCACAAGACCTGCCTGGTGATCGGCTATTACATCATTGCGCAGAAATCTGTGCTAAGTCTTCCGAGCTGATGATCACTGCTCCGGACTGCCAGATATTCGGGATAATCAAACACGCCTACAATCCTATCCTGTCTTACATTATTGACAGTGATAAGGCCAGTTACCCTATCATATATGTGGTCATACTTGGTCGGATTGCATAATGGCAAATACTGTGTGGAATTAGTAGTATACTTACCTGTGGTCTTACGCCTATTATTTCTCGATTTTTTAGCCATACATGATACTATCTGGCGGATGATTAAAATGCTCGTTTGCCATTTAAATGGTGATAACATAGTAAAAAAATAAATTTATGCGTCTTCCAAGTACTAGTAAAATTTAGTAGCTATACATATTGATTTGCCTCAATGCGATTTTTGAAAGTCGTTTAAGCTTCTCTGGAGTTGCATTCTCTCCACCATAAATTCTGGAAGCATGCCTTTTTCCATAACGTCTTAATTCCCTAGGTATGCTTCTATAAGGTTCTTGCTTTAAGAATT